GAGCATTTAACCAGAGCAAATCAAAGCAGTAGATTGTCTCTTTTGCAATTACCTATGCCAGTTGTGATGCTTTGAGGGTTTGCAGTTTGTCCTTTTTTTCCTTCAATTTTCTTGGAGTGTGGATTTTGCAGAATATGTTTGTTACCTATCCCTATTTGCCTTAGAACTCAGTGCCTTGTCTAGTCATTTTAGAGGGGCATTGAGAATCAACCACATTGTTGTGGGTCTGGAGCCACATATATACCTGACCAAGTAAAGGTGGCAAATTTCCTTCATTAGTGAATCAGATGGGTTTTTACAGTGATCAGTGGTAGTTACATGGCACAGTTACTGAGATTAGGTTTATATTCTAGATTTATTTATTGAATAGAAATTCCACCCACTGCTATGATGGAATTTGAATCAGTGTCCCTGGAATATTAGTCTGGGCTGCTGGAAAGTTCAATGATGTTATCACTGTTCATCCTCCCATTTAAACACCAGTTCCTGTGCTACTGCTGAAAGTTGGGAGCTGCTTTTCAAATTAAGAACAGAAATCATGATAGCTTGGAGGCTAGATTATTTCTCCCTTTACTAGATAGCAAATGTTTGCAGAAAGTTTTCTCTGATAATATGAAATCATACACAAACACAACAAAGTATATGGATGACTCCTCAATGGCTGCAAACTTTGCTGTTGTAATTTACTATATAAAAAGGTTATTAACTGTCTCCAAATCCAGAAAAACCCTAGTTATTGAAAGACTATAAATGTAGATTGTGATTACCAATTTCTGGTGGTTGTTCCAGTAATAGACACTATTTGGGCTGATGAAAAGATCTTATGTTCTCATGATCATTACCACTTTGTGACCTACATTTAGGTAACAATGATTTCTTTTAAATCTCTTTTGCACACCCATTTGTTTTTCATGACTCGTTAGCAAATCATTCATAATGCAAAATTTTGGAGGTTACTTTTTCCCTTTCCATCTGAATCTTTAATTAAATTTTATAATTTACATCATTCAGACCTCCCGACATATGGCTTCTGGAGTTAAGTGCAAAACATTGATTTAATAATTTAATGGGATGGTTCTTGGGACTTGCTGATTTAAGTCAAGAAATCATTCAGTTGTTTCAATTTACTGCCACAGAGTCAGTATCAGAATTTTGTTAGATGCATGAAGATGGCTATGGATGTATATATGAAAGACTTACTTAGGAGCTTGATAGTTACTCATTTTTTCGGTGATGCAAAACTGGTGATTGAGTAGTCAGTGACACTGCTTATCTTACACGGAGCAAACTTGGGAGTAGGCTTCATCCTATAGCTGCTTTCTTGGAAATCCATGAGGACATACAAAGCTGTGATTGGGAGTAATCTTGGTCCATTGCAACTGGGAATAATCCTGGTACACCGTATAGATATTTCTGCAGTGCATTTGAACTGTCCATTCTGACAACTGACAGGATGACTTCCACGCAGGACAAACCCTTCCTAACTTTAAGGTACTTGGGTTGACTCCTAAATTGCTTGCAGGAAGTAGCACGAGGAAGCAAGATTAACTAACTCCTGGGTGGTGAGAAATATTCAGATACAGTAGTTACCTTGCAAGCAACGTAACCCCACCTACACATCTTTGCAGGATAACAACACTCTGGAATGTTGGTGGGTGGTAGTGGGGATGGGTGGAAATGGTAAAGCAATCAGTTGGGTTGTAAGTGGCTGGCAAACAGGAGGCTGGAAGAACACAGATCGCCAGGCAGCATCTGGAGGAAAGGAGCACTCAACGTTTCGGGTATTACCTTTCTTCAGGACATAGCTAACATTTTGGGTATTACCTGAAGAGGGTATGTCCTGAAGAAAGGTAATACCCGAAACGTTGAGTGCTCCTTTCCTCCAGATGCTGCCTGGCCAGCTGTGTTCTTCCAGCCTTCTGTTTGTCTATCTTGGATTCCAGCATCTGCAATTTTTTTTGCCTCACATGTGGTAAGTGGTTCATGGCTTCAGTTTAACTTCACATCAGCATTTTAAAATATGGGCTGTAAGTTCTTGTATTTAGCCTGCTGTATTAGAAAACTACATCTAGCAATATCCAGCTGGAGTACCATAGCATTTTTATATTTCTATTGAGCACTCTGGGTAATCTAAACTTCCATAACAGGTGGATAAGGTTGATTCAGAGATTAAAACTTTAAAAATCTAAGACATCAGAACCTCTAGAAAGGAGGCAATATTGGAGTGGATGACCAAACCACTCAGATGCGGAGGGATGGTCATTTAGTTAATACAATAAGGCTATATATTGCATGAGTTGGAATGTTTCCTGCGGGCTTATTAACAAGCTACCCAATTAATCCTAACGGCAAACATATATTTTCCATCTTGCTGTTAGGCCAATAGATTTGTGGAGTCTGCTGTTTGATCCTGTCTCCAGTCTTTGCGTAAATAACAGGTTGCACTGTTATCTTCTACCACCACTGTTAGATTCCAGACCCCCAATTAATTAGGCGGAATATGGGGAGGAAATCTGCAAAAAAAATTAAGGAGTTTCAATGTGTTTGGGAAACTCGCATGTTTCCTGATGTCAGAAAAGCCCTCACACGCGATGCACGTTTAAGCTAATGTCCAATCCTTGGCTTTCCTTGGAGCTAAACTCTGTTCTTGAATGTGAGAAGGATTCCTGATCAGTTTGTTACAGCCAAGTTGGAATGAGCGCACTGTCATTCTAATCCCTCTAATTCCATGAATCACCCCAAATATAAAAGTTGCAGGTGACTGGAAGCTTAGGGTCATTTTTGTGGACAAGACGTAGTTGTTACGCAAAGTGTTCACCAAGTCCGCATTTGCCTCCCCAATGTAGAGGAGGCCACACCCATCAGCAAACACAGTAGACTAGATTGAATGAGATATAAGTAAGTAAATTGCTGCTTCACCTGGAAGGTATGTCTGAGACCTTGGATGGTGAGGAGTGAGAATGTAATTGGGCAGGTGTTGGACTTTCTGCGATGGTGAGGGAATGATCCCTGCGAGATGCTGACAGTGTTGGGGAGGAAGATGGATGGGGAATGTGTGAGGCCGTGGCATCCTGTAGAGGTGAAAATGGTGGATGACAATCCTTTGGACGCAGATACTGGTGGAATTGTAAGTGAGGACCAGGGGGACCCTATCTGGACAATTGATGTTAAGCTTGAAGGCAAAAAATAAGATTCAGAATGCTTGAAGTCCGACGATCTGATGTTCTTACATGTGTGGTCAAGTAACTAATCACGCATGGTTTTGGGACCTTGGCAGATAGCGGAAAATAAAACTCAAGAAATACAATATTCAGAAGTTCTTAGTTCTAATGGAAGAGTAAATGAATCGGGTTTCACCTTGATCTTACAGCAAAGGTGTTTCATAAACAAGAGATGTGAGCTGACCAACTTGTTCTGAAGCAGGTTTTTTTTTAATTGAAAGGCCAAAAAGATGAACTCCAATTCTGCAAACACTTTTCAAACAGAATAGCTAGAAAACTCATTCTTAAAACAGTCAGGTGTTTTCTCTGAAATGCATTCAAGTAACCAAGATCAGCAGTTTATCACAGGATTCATTTCCAACAAGCCTTGCTGTTTTTCAAAGAAATGTTTTCCATGTGTCTTTTCATTGATGTTTCTTAAAGAAAAAAGCTATTCTAATATCTCCACAGTCCTTCAAAATGGAGTCCACAGAAATGATAAATATGAAGCACTCTTTTAACAAATTCGTTAATGAAGATAATTCACTTATTTTGTTCCATTTATTAAACCCATTCCTAAGCAGAGAGATTTGGTATTGTGTATGATAATTTGCTCAATTGGCAGTTTCAGACATTTCCAAATCTGCTCATTTGTGTGTTAAACTGTTGGGAAGCCTTCTGATAAGACATGGAAAAAGCATTAATCTTTGATCCAGTCACCTTTATTATGGCATATGAGGGTGGTGTCAATTTAAGGGCCGTTCTATATGATGTATATGCATCTAAGAATAAGCATAAGAAAAATTATTTTGGCTGTCATTCTGAAACTGATCATCAATACTTAATTCAGACCCATGGATAAAAGTTATGGAATTGTTTTAGCTAACATCTAACTGCCCTTCGTGTTGGGTTGGTACACAGTTACACTTTTGCTTAAGGTATTGCACAGCTTTAATCTTTCGAGCCAAAAATATATAATGTAAGTGGGAAAAGCTGTATAAAAATGCTTTTCATTGCACATTATGGAGTTTTTTATGGTGATTGTCTATCTCCCACTTCGATGTTATTTTTAGTTAAGATTTGTCTGTATTCAGTGGTGAGAATTAGGTAACGTGACTAACTTTCAAAATGTGCACCTTAGCTAGATCAAGAAAAACTACATAAAATATTAAGGGTTAATATGATAACTTGTACAGGCATATATCTGCTCAAATTTTCATGAATTGCTTAAAGGCTTTTTTAAAAGTAGGGTTTTTTAAGGAAAAACAATACTTGATTTCAATTCCACTTCTAGCTGAAGTAAGCTATTAGCTTTCAACAGCATATTTTAAATTTTTCAAAAATGTTGAATAGACTACTACTTCTATTAGTTAAAACAAATGAGTCACTGAAAGGTTTTTCGGGAATGACATTAATAATCAATCATTTTTATTCATTTGAAGATGACCTTTTGCAGTATTTGTAGCTCTGATCATGCAGTAGAGTAATGCTATGATCACTAACTTAACATGCATTGTACCTTAACCCCTATAAAAGAACATCTTGCAACATTTTTGCATAATTCATTGATTATTAGTTGCTTATACATGCTGATCTATAAATCACTTCCAAGTTATTAGGTTAGTCTTTCTGATTACCTTCCCATGATTAACCTTTATTGCAATTGTTCAATCTAATGGTTACCATGCCATAAACATAGTTAAACATAGATTATCTGTAGTGCAATATTCCGTACATATCCTGATCTACTTATACTATTGTTGTTACTAATTTAGCATTAAATATTCTGATGTCTTTCAGATGACATTATGCAGACTGACATGGCAATATCTGTAGGTAAACTGAAGCCCATAAGAAGAGAAAGTTCTAATAAAGAAACACCGAAGCAAACTTCCAAGAATCCTAAAAGGCAAATGAAATGCAGTGATCTTGATGAATGTGGTAAAGAATCCCCCCCAAGTAAAAAGACTAAATTAAGCACAAATGAAGCTGTTGCAGGCCATAGCCTATTAAAAATGTCATCTGGTTCTGAGCCCGGAAACCAAGAGATTGAATCAAAATCTGCAACAGTGCAGCTTCCAGTTGAATCAGTTACCACCTTGAACAAGCCAGATGAACATTCTGTGACGTTAGATGCTTCAAAAGGTGAGATATCTGATGTGTCAAGATCAGCTGTTCAGAAAAGGACCAAACCTATTCAAGCCTTACTTGCAAAACATAATGGGAACAAAGTGACCTTAACCAGTCAGACATCCTCCTCTGTGAGAGAGATGAGCAGTCCAGAAGAGAAAGTAACTGCAATTACATCACATCCAAGCCCAACAAAGTCCTATTTACCAACTATTCCATCTCCAAAAGGGCCACTGCAGATGGTGTACAAAATGCCTGATGGATCTTGTGTGCCAATTGATCTGAGTAGCAGCCAGATTAAGATTGCAGTCCAACCTGTCATTGATGCAAAGACTGGAGAGAGGATCATGCAGCAGGTACTTATTGTACCCAAAAATTTATTAGCCCAACAACAAGATGGAAAATATGTTGAAAAAGGAAGTCTGCCCAAGGCATTAAAGGAACTGGAGAAAAGAGCTTCCGTCGGATCTCAAACAGCTGATTTAGGCCATTCTCCTGCCGTGGATCTTCAGTCTCTGTCATCTGTTCAGGTGCAGTCACAGGTTTCTAATTTAAGGCCCAGTAAGAGCACTGCAAGTTTAACAACAGTAATAACTTCTGTCAGTCAGTCAACAAAAGTTGTACCTTCATGTAACTTGGTAACATCATCAGTTATTGCACCACAAGGAAGGGCAGAAGTGTCTGCCGTTACAGTACCTTCAGTTATGACATCAAATGCTAAAGGTAGTCAGTTAACAGTTAGTGAGCCAGTAATGCCAACAAAAACACACAAGGCAGGTAATACTGGAACTGCTCAGAGTTTCAACTCGCAGCAGTCAAAGGAATCAAGTGAAACAAAGCAGGAACTTAAAACTGTGTGTATACGAGATTCTCAATCCATTTTAGTCATGACACGTGGCGGAAACACAGGTGTTGTTAAGGTACAAAGCAACTCTGATCAAAACTCACCAAATGCTATTACTCCAAGGCCAATATTTACATTTTTACCAGAAGTTCAGAACTTTGTGGTCTCAAAAACTCAACCATTGTCACCATTGACCTCTCTCCTTGTTCCGGCGCAGACTTCCCTAACAAATATCAATCAACTTCCTGTTTCCAATTCCATTGCATCAGTTTCATTAGGTCTAAACCAGTTGGGTGCAGAACCAATTAAGTTAGGGTCTTGCAAAACTATGAATAATGCAGGAGTTGTACCTGTTGTACCTGTGCCTCTGCCAACAGTCTTGACAACTGTTTCAGAGAATCCAACTGTGCACACCAGTAGCCACAATGCTGTGCATTTAGTTAGTGGACCTGTTGGTGGATTATCTAGTGAAAGTGCAGTCCAAAGTAAGGTAACAGTTACTCAAGCACCATCGTTGCAATTCTCACTTGATACTGCAACTGGCAAGCAGTTATTTCTAAAACCACCTGAATGTAATAAGTCAGGAGGTAGCACGTTCCTGACTGGAACTACAATGCCGAAATTTCTGTTGGTTCCAAATCCTCCCGCTACACTTTGTGGCACAAGTCAAGTCAGCATGGCACCCACAAATGCTCAACCTCAAAAGTTAGTCTTCATGAGTCCATCTGTGTCTTCAATGTCCTCATCCTCCAACTTAGTATTAACTAAACCGCCCCAACAACAAACTGCAACGCCTTTAAACACAACACAAATACCAGTGAAAAACTCAGATCCTTATCAGGTGGTGCTATTACCTTATACTGGGGAAACACCAATTAAAGGCAATCCACTACCCAGCTCATTTCAGGTGAAAGAAGTTAAAAAGGGAAACTTTATAAGAAACAGCATCCAGAAAATCCCAGGAATCGGTGTTTCGCCGACTGCAAAAGTAGGAGAAGGATTATCTATGAAGAATGCCGTCTTACCAACAAGTTGTGTTAGTACTTCAGCAATTCCTTCAGTTGTGGTGAGAAATCAGAGCTCTCCGCCTTTTAGGAATTCTACGGGAGTCAAAATGTGTGTTCAAAATGTATATACAGTAGCAACAGCAGCTACAGGTACAGCTCTGCCAACGCCAACTTTTACAACATTTGGTTCTCTTCCCACTGCTTTGCTTAAAGGAAATGATAATATCTCTGGATCTAATCAAGGGGTGTTAGCAACTAGACTTCCTGTTGCTATTTCAACAGTGAAGGCAGAACACCTTGCATCTTCAATGCTTCTTGCATCTCCACAGCCAAAGATGTCACATCAGTCACTGACTTCTTCTCTTCCCTTGCCAATTACAGCTCCTTTACCAAACCCAGTCACAGTCAATTCAAAGATGGTACCAACATGCACTCAACCAGTATGTACAGCCTTTTCCCCACAAATTGCACATTTTTCAAAGGATAGTTGTCAAACAGTAATTCGTTTTCCAAATCCAAACACAATAGCATCACCAACCAATAAAAGTACTGTTCCAAGGTCTGCAGCTGTGCAAGCAGCTACTCGGCTGAGTGCATCAACTGTTGGTAATATGTTCACTGCTTCTTTGGGTCTTAGCTTGCCGCATCAAACAACAGTACAGAGTTTAACAAAACATCCAATGAGTCCTAAAACAGTTACTGCATCTACTTCACTTATGCAGTCTATAGCAACTGTGCCATCTTCTATTAGCAAAGTTTCTGAACCATTAAATGAATCTTGTATACGGCAGAAAATAGTTATCAACACAAGTACACCTTTGGCACCAGGGACTCAAATAGTCATTAACAATCATCGATTTGTAGTTCCACCTCAAGGCCTTGGATCTGGTAGCCATGTCCTGCTGATTTCCAATACACTGAAACCAAGTAATTCTCGAGCAGTAAATTTAAGCCCTGGATCTCGTACAGGAACTGATGTTACATCTGCATGTCAAAAGACAACGATAGTGTCTGCTTTATCCCATCATTGTCAATCCTTTCCATCTCCTTATGTTGTTTCACCTGAGAAATTGCTTCAAAAGCTGTGTGTTCAGAGTGCTGCACAAACAATTACTGCTGTTTCTAGACCTGTCCAACCTACAACAGGATCAACACCGATACTTGGCCCTACTGCAAGACCTTCACTTCAGACTGCAGTATGCAAATTCCAAGTCCCTACAAGCCAGAGTGCCCCAGGTCTTCCAGTAGATACTTCCTTCAATAAGTTATTAGTCAGCCCAGAAGGGGCAGTTTTAAATGCTATTAATACTGTGGTTAATCCTGCTACAAAAGTGGCATCACAGCCCTCTTTAACTCGTGTTTTGGGAAGTTCAAGTGCAAGTCCTGCTGTAGTCTTTCCGTCAATTAAGGCATCGGAAGTACTCGATTCTACTAGAACTGTTTCTGCATCTTCCAGTCTATAAACTACAATTGTTAGATATCCAAATAATGGAGATTATGAGAACCATCAGTACAATTGGAATCATTCTCTAATTATATTTTGGGTTTTGGAGAAGGCACAACTTGTTAACAGTAACTAAGATGTCTTGAGAGGCACAAGTATTTATTTAGTCTGCAAAGATGTTTTCCCTGTGTTTTATCTGTGAAATCTGTGTATTTCAATGTACAAAAACATTGTTAAAAATTGTAAGACAGCAAATTTGAATGACCTTGTAAATTTTCCTGGTTTATAATTTTAACTGAAGCGTAGCAATTTAGTGATTGCTTACTGTGCACTCAAAAGCTTCTTGCACACTAGCAGTACAACCTGTTATCAATGCCCACATCTTTGGTGTGCTGCAATGTTCCACTTTTAAGTGTGATTTTTTTTTTTAAGAAGTGCAGTCAAAAGAAAAAATCTATGACTTGTTTATATGCTATTGCTTCCTTTTTAAGTATTTAATATAGAAACTTCAGTCTGTTGTACAGTTGTAAATACTTTTGAACTCAAGTTGTACTAAAGTGAATGTATAAAAGAATTTTGCTAATTTATTTGTTTCTTGTTTATATAATGTATAGGTTTTTAAGCTGTTTAGTAGCTTTTATGGACCAGTGTTTAGAAAAATGCAGTCAAATCTGCATGATTAAAAACGTGTGCAATTGTTATTTCCGGTCTTATGTTTTTATTTCTGATCTTATGTTTTTATTTGCATGCAAGTTCCCTCTCCAGTTATAATTCTGTTAATTTAATTCCAAGTCTGCAAAAGTAATGCCTGCCTTAATGTTTGACTAACTAGGTTAGGTTCTGTATCTCTTAACTTCATTGCAGTTGGATATTAGAGGGGAACGATGACCCCTAAAGCTATGCATTATTTTTGTTTTGCCATTTTTATAATCTCTTGTGAAACTACTCTACAGTGAGTTACCATGTTCAGGCAATTACGGGGCTGTAATGACAAGAAAGGAAAGTGCTGGCTTAAGAAAGTGGGTGTTCCAGCCATTTACAACTCTGAATTGTCCATTGGAGATT